TAAATTAGACAAACTCTTAATTAATTACACCAAACCAAGGAAGTTTTGGTCAAGACAATTACATCATAGCCACCAAATCGAAAAAAGAAGAAAAAGAAGAAGAAGGAGAAGATGAAAATCATGCCTCAAAACACGGTTGTCTATCTTGAATGGGATGTTTATTGGGGTTTGCTGTCAAGGACTCAACATTAGTTAGATAGTAATTTTTGGTTTTTTTTCTCCTGGTATGTAGAGTCAGCATAACATAAAGCATGATCATTCACATTGAATCATTGACCCAAGTCATTGTCTTTAGAAAAAATTAACGAAATGTTGTAGGCTTTGAATTAAAAAAAATATTGGGTTAGGAGTGAGGATATGAAAGGATATAATGTTATTGTTAATGGTATATAATTATAAACTAGCATTCATGTTATCATCAATGTCATTAGATTATTTTTTGAAAAAGAGCCGTCATGTCAGTAGAACAACTAACCAAAATTTGTTGGCAATCGAGATAGAATGTTTTAAAAATCATTATCATTTTTAATAAAGCTTAAGAGAAAATGATAAATGAGGACAAGTTTTGCTATTAAAAATATTAAATTATTTAATTATAATTAATAAATATATAAAATATAATATAAATTTTAATTTTATTAAATTTATTATATAATTATTATTAACTGTCGAATAACATTTTAATTTTCTTTTTTGAAAGTTTAATAGGCTTTTTTAATTTTAAAGGCCAGTTTTTTTAATAATGTATATTAAAAAATATAAAAATTAATATCTATCTTAATATTATTATCAGATAAATAATTTAAATTAAATAATTAATAAATTAAAAATAATTTTTATTTTTAATATAAATTAATAATAAAAATATATTTATTCTATTTTTAATTTATTTTCTTCTAACAATAGTTGAAAAACCAAAGTTTAATTACAAAAGTTACTGGTCTTATCTACTTTCAAAAAAATTTTCTTTACATTTATGGCTGGGGCCAGGTGGAGACGCGGAGAGAGAACTTTGTTAGACTGATTGGAAGCAAAGTCCAATAAAGTGAATGATATTTATTTCACCAAAAACAAGGACGAATGATATGTTGGTTTGGTGTACATTAACTGTTATCAGATATGAGAAGAAACGCGCAAACGCATATCCTTATTTAGTAATTACTTAAGAATATTTTTTTTTAAATTTAAATTATATCATATAATAAAATGGAGACCCATAAATAAGAAAAAACACTTAATAATAAAAGATTTATTTTTTATTTAAGAGTTTACTCATATTATTTATTTTTAGTAAGTTTAATTTAATTTTAAAACTTTTAAAATATAAAATTTAACTAAAAATTTAATAATTTATATGAGTAATAATTAAAATTTTTTATCTAATTATAATTCTTGTTAAATATTTTTATTTAATTAAAATTTTTAATTTTTAATTATTATTCTTATAAATTATTAAATATTTATTTAAAATTTATATTTTAAAAGTTAAAATGTTACATTAAATTTATTTAAAATAAATAAAAAAAATGTTAGTTAGACTAATATTTAACCTTTTTAAATCATTATTACTATTTTTACGGGTTGTAGAAATAAAATCACTGGACTATACAGTATGCATTGTAAGAGACTGTTTGGTGCAGATTATGAAAAAGGTTTTTTAGCTCTAAAAGCACAAGTTTTACCAAACGGCATAGCTTTTTAAATGTGCTGCAACTTTTGAGAAGCTCACCTTCTCGTCGTTCCTTTGCAAAGCTCGAAAGCTCCAATTTCTTACTTTCGCGGGAGCTTCTCGCTTCATGTTTAATGAAATTGACATGGTCTTCTCATTTTATCCTCACACTTCCTTTTATTTATGAAAAAACTAGTATATAAATGACCAATTTATAACATCACACCAACTAGCTCAGGCACATTTGTTTCTTCTTCCTCATCCAATTAGAGAAACAAATTGAAAATACTCATCCAATCAAAGAAACAAACCAAAAATATTGAACTATTTTCTTAACTATCTTATTCCTCATCCAATCAAAGAAACAAACCGAAAACACTTACCGTATTCTTCCTCATTTTCTTTCCCCCTAAACCGAAAATTCCTTCATCTTCCGTTCGGAGACAAACCTAGCGCCTGGGTTCTGAGACGAACCCAACGCCTGGGTTCTGAGACGAACCCATGAGCTTGGTTCAAGACGAACCAAGTGTGGGTTCGTTGCAAACCCCTCCCTTGGGTTTCGAGATGAACGCAGGCGCGAGGTTCGTCGTGGAACCTAGGAGCTGGGTTCCGTGATGAACCTGGGTTCGCGCAAACCCAAAGGTAAAAAAAAAAAAGAAAAGAAGAAAAAAACAGCAAAGGAATGGGAGAATACTAAACTTTATAATATTTATATTAATAATTATATAATTAAATGATTTTAAGGTTATATTAATAAAAAATTTAATCATATTATTAATTTTTATCATATGAATATTTCATGTAATTTAAGTA